GTTCGGGAAAACGATTCGCTTTGAAACTAGCACTACCGAGGCAGTTGACATCGCATATGCATATCTTAAGTAGTTTGCAGATTTATAAAGCGGCTAAAATTGATGACGAAATAACAATGTATGACCTATGTAAAGCATCAAATAGGAACAAGTCGTTGGAATGCTGGCCTTCCTTCCACTTTCATAATTGGACCATTCTGGCACCCTTCTTTTTCCGATTTTTATGCTGTGGTGCTGAACTTCGTTTCCATGCTATCAGCCAGGAGTGCCTTCTTTTAGAGACAAAGGCTACGGCCATGTGGCAAGCATAGCGTGTAGTCTCTTGTTTCCTTCCTACATGTTGATACTGATTTATCAACCTCGGCAGGAAAAAGGGCGAGTGACTCCAAAACCCCAACTACAGACTCTCAGTCCTGAATCTGGGGCTCTCCCCGCTGAGCAACCCCGGTCTGAAGCAGCATGTCAATTTCTTGCTCAAGGCAGTTCGTGGATAAGACAAAGATTGCCATCGAGTGGAATCGAACCCGGCACTTTCGGTGTTCGAATCAAACCTCATAGACACGGCACCACGCCGCTTAGTAGATGAGGAAGCGGTTAGCCTAGTGACTGAAATTAATTAAGAAAGATGTTCGTTCGTAAACGTCAACGTCTGCTTAGAGGATAGATGGTTCGACCAAAAAACATTCTTTAACCTTGGATTGTATTTTGAGTATTCATCACTTAGAATTGCGGTGAAGTTCATATAGTGACTAGCCGGCGATTGCTATTACTACTTTTCCTACTCACTGTTCCGCGTTACAGATTCCAACGGATAGAAACAGTGGTCTGGTCATCAGTGTAGATTTGAGGTTAGTTTTGATGTTATTCCTGAGGTTCTCATAATTAATTCAAAGGACTTTGTGAGTCTGCGTTTCGGAAAATGTGAATGACTTCTTCCTCCGCTAACTCTCTTGATTCTGATTCAGGTCGTGACGATAAACGATGCGCCGGTTCGTTTTTCAAGTGTCATAATTCTCTTTCAGTGATTAAATCAAAATGTTCTTATTTTTATATGATATTTCAGACTAATCACGCAAGAAACCTTGAAGAAGAAGTGAACGGACAACAAAGCTGTCGTACTAACAGCTGTTTCTTTAAATTCACCGATTATCATTTAAATGTCTTGCTACTTCTTCTTCGCCTCCTTGTTCATTTTTCTAATTTTTTCTTTTTCCTTGCTTCTAAGCGCCTAGGGGGACCAGTTAATCTGTTTAAATGGTTCCTTTGGGAGTGTAGAAGCAAGGGGCAAGTTTTTTTCGTCGTGTGAAACCGGTACCCATAATAAAAATGTAATATTTGCCGGCCGAATTGGAAAGCTGTAAATCTTGATACGCACCTGAGCATGGGGATAATATATTTTCCTATTTTGTTAAACAGGCACCTTCTTAAAAGTTTGCTTTTGAATCAGAAATCTTACGAATCAACGTATTATAATCATAAAAATTTGTACGTTAATTTTGTATAATATTCCAAATAAAAATTGTCTGACTTACTTAGCCTTTTATCGTAAAGTTTGTCTTTGTTGTATTGTTTTGTTGTAATACCTTGCACTGATTTTTAGTATGCGATGGAGCAATTTATTCAATGGTATCTGCCGAGAAATTTTTAATATGGTAATTTTTATTTCGTTTACGTTGCCAAACTTTTGTTGGCGGTAAGGTAGTATTTTTGTTGGAACTAAAATAGTAAGTCATTGCCTTAGATGATCCTGCAGTTCAATTATCGCAAGTCAGGAGAGTTAAAGTCAGTTCTGTCTTCAGTTGTTCGTCATTTTTAATGTTCATTAGAATAGTGGACTTTGTACTGTCTAATCACACCTACCTGAATGTTGTTAGGCGCGAGCGCGTTTATCTATGGTTTTGATCTTTGCCGCCTCAAGTATCGAACAGGCTACCAAGCAGTTGGAAACAAGGGTGATACTTCTACTTAATTGTAAATTATGAAACCGAAGTGCTTAAATGACTTAACTTCCTCGTTTGCTCGCCGTCGCACATGTTAGTATAGCTTTGTAACAGTTGGTTAGTATAGCTAGACCGAAGCAGTACTTTATTATAGAATGGCAGTCACGTTGCCTATCACGAGGCGATACTGATACAGAGGGTTTATACTGCAGCTAAATTTGGAAACGTAGCGTAAAATTCTTATTGCATAGCACCTGGTTGTTATTCTTACTGATGATGTCGATAGCTGCCTAGTCGCTGTCGACATTGCCTTAGTATACCTTTGAAAATCTGTGGTATCGGCGTGGATGATGTTCTCTCCGTCAATGCAAATGGCAGCGCACTGTTCGCCACATTCTCTCACTGATCGAGTATACATTTTGTCAGTCGGCTATCTTTCATTATCGCCGCATGCCCGGCGCATGTTTTCTTCCTTTCATCGCCTGGACGACGTATCTAATGATGCTTTTGAGTCAGAGCTTCGGTTTTTTCACTTTACCCATACAGTTTCCGAAGGCTCTTTGCATGATCAGCAGTTTTGTCTCTGTAGCACTGTTTTCCATGTTTAGCATCAATAGAGCTTCGTGAAAGAGATTTGCATTTTGAAAGACTGGCAGTGGAGCAGACTACATGTTGAGGGAGCTTACTGTCAGTGGGAACCACCGTTTTAACCCTGTTAGTTGA